CCAAGTTTCCAATGGAAAAACAAAAGACTCCTCGAGCAACTGAGAATAAAATTACAAGTTCCTATTTATGTCATCTTTATTTTTTTCCTCTCTTTTACGTCACCTCTCTGGTAGGTTCTGAAGTTTGGTTTGGTTTTTTTTTAATCTCTTTTAAGAGGTCCTGCTGATCAATGCATGCATCCAGGAAGGACTTACTGAGAGAGCTGAGCACCTCTTATTTGGTGGTAATAGCCAGACTCGTTCAGTAGCAGTTTTCTTAAGACATCTGGTTCTTATGGCCGTGTCTGGAGGGAGAGGTGTTCCAGGAAAGTCCTTTGAGAGCCAACGAGCTAGAAAACAGCGCCCGAGTTGTTCCCCGGTGTGCCGTGGTGCTGAGGCAGGTGGCCGGATCATGCCATGGCTATTTATGACCCCGATGGGTGTTTACTTATGCGTTTCTGGGTTTCTAAACTGCAAGTGAAAATTGAGATTGGGATTCTTTTTAATCTTTTATCCAACCTGTCTAGCCCTCAGTTCTTTGAATCCTGCAGGGATTTCGCAGCTGGTTGTGAAGCATCTTCTGAGCTATTGTGTTTTACAGCTCAGACTAAAGGCAAAGTAGATGCCAAATTAAACCGATGCGATGTTTTGGCTTCCCTTAATATCTCAGACTGCAATTTTGGTGGCAGTTAGCAGTTACTGCACGAGTAGCGGCATCATGCTTGCCCCCGGTGTAGTCTGGATAGCCGGGAATCACTGCAGCCATCCCAAATTAAGATGAAAATCAGAAGCTTTGGAGATAACATTGCCCTAACAGGGGTTGGGGGCTACACTGGGGGTCAAATTTGGATTACAGTCTCTCCTCTCCTGGTGAATTGCTGAGGGTACCTCCACTTACTAATACAAGAGGCCGTGGCAGATCATCGGAGAGCCATCCCCAGCACTCTGCTTCTGCAAACCCATCGCACTGTGTCGCCCTGCTTGACACGAGCCACAGAAGTGGACAGCTCAGGATCGCCCGCAAGACAGCCCAGAGGCCGTGGACGCGCTGTTCTGTATCCCATTAAGCCGTACCCGTCTCTCATTGCACCATCGCATCGCAGGTATGGATTGGGAAAGGCAGTTGTGGCTGCCCTCAAGAGATTCCTCCTCCGGTTATTTTTGCGCTGGTTGTGTTTTGTTTCTTACCTGTATAAGAAAGGAGGTCTCAAGAGGACCTTATCTTCTGGAAGTTTTATGCATCTCACCTGGGTGATGTACCCTCTGGCCACGTAGGGTTGACTTCTCTCGGTCAAGGGTTAAAAAACTTGGGAGATCCCAAACACCCAATTCACGCTTAGTTTATAGGGTCAGGGTGCCTTTGCTGTTTCGGTGGCAGCCGAAGGACCCAGGGGTTTGCAAAGGGTTTGGGGATTGTTGGGAATGAAAGAGACTGTCTAAATCCCGGGTATTAAGTGAAACTCCTCAGCTGACTCTGCTTGGGTTACACCCTTTGCTTTATTTTTATGGCAGGTTCTGGCTATTCTTTGACTTCCTTCACCCTTTAATCCAAGTGTCAAATCAGGGCATGGATCCAATGCAAACAAACCCAAACCCACCAGGCCAGTCCTGCTTCCATCCGTCCCCTTCCCGGGCTCCCCAAACTGCAAACCCAGTTGAGCATTTTGGGCCACCTCCCCTCTCCTGTGGGTTGCTCCACCAGCTTTGCTACGGGTCCAGCAGCACGGGGAGCGGTCTGAAATAACCCCGCTGCTTCGGGGAAGCCCAGGTGAGAACAGGGCTTTGCTTTCATCCGTGAAAATCATCTTTTGGACAGTCAGCCTTGTTCCTGGGCGCTGCTGGTTGCTGCTGGCTCGGCTTCTTGAGGTCGACTCGCGAGCGGGGAGCTTGATCGTAGCAGCTTTTCTCCAACTATGTGAAGTTTGTCCAGAAAAAACAAGGTGGGACTGAAGCCGATGCCTTGGAAGAAAGCCTCGTGGCGCTGAAGAATTAACTCCTTGTAACGCCAGCAGCCGTTGCTTTCTCCGGATGAGGTGGAGAGGAGCCACCCTTCCCCACCGTGCATGAAGGGAGGATTTGTGCCGTTGGTTGCAGCTCCCTAAGTCTCGGCGTAAAGAAATGGCGGCGAAGGGAGGACATCAAACACAAATAGGGTTGGTGTTTTTGTTTTTTAATACCTTCAGGGGACTTCGTACAAGAGAGCAAACCCCAAGAGCTGCCCTAACCGTAGCAGCAGCAAACAAAGACCTCAGTGTCCTCTGGAAGGTGGCACCTGAAGATGAGTAATGCAGTGGTTGCATCACGTTTAGAGCAAGCATGAGCATGAAGTATCTGTTCTACCTCTTGATTTAAAAAAAAACAAACAAATGCTGAAGACCTTGAGTATTTGCCTGAGCTTTCACACACCCTGTTCATCACTTCCCTCCTTTCTTCAGGGGAACAAGCGATCATGCAGGCACTTGCAAGAAGACGGTGCTTGTCCCGCACGCTTGAGAGGGAGCCGGTGTAAACTGAGTTGGGGAGGTCTCTGCTGACTTGCGCTTGCTTGAGGTCCAGCCTTGGGCAGTTCGGAGGCTGGTGAACATCCTGTTCCCTGGCCTGGGGGCGGCCGGAGCAATGGTTGTTTTGAAATCAGGGTTTTTGAGGCCAAGGTTTTTATTTTCAAACTTAAAGCCAGCACCTAAATCTGTAGCAAGGTAGCAAAGCATAAGGGAGGAAAAAAAAAAACCCTACTGATTTCTTAGGACCTCTGGAAAGCTTGACTACTTCCACATGCCACCTTTAGGTTTGCCTGTGCTGTTAGTTAACCCCAGGCTCTCCTCCCTGCATGCCACCGGGGACAAAAACCTCATGTGTCCTGCAAAAAAACCCCAAACCGACTCACTTTTTCACCCGACAGTGTAGATGCAGCATGTGCTGCGGTAGGTGCCCTATAACTGTGATACCCTGACGCTTCTCTGGGTTTAGGTGCCGAGACACCGGGCTCAGAAAGCATTGACCTCTGTTTGGAAAGAGTACAGCACGCTACGAAGATGCTATTTGTATTTATACCTGATTGTCTGATTTTTAATGGTTCCTAGCACACCATGGCGGTAAGGTTTGGGCAGGTGCAAACGTGCTGGAGTCTTATTCGTGATTAAAACTCGCTCTGAAAGGTTTCATCTGTGCCCGACTGTGTTTCTTCCGTAGACAGTTGTGGTCGGGGTGTGGGGTCTGCGCGGGAGCCCTGCCAGCCCCTCTTGCTTTGTCAGCCTCATCCCTAACTGCAGCGAGGCTGTGGGCAGGCAGCGCGTCAGCCCGTGGCTTTACGGACCTGTGCAACCAGCTGAAATTACCCTCCTGAGGACCATTTCATGGTCGCTAAGCCCAAGACAGCCTCTGAGGACAAACCAGCCCAGGTCTGTGCTGGCTGGATGGCCACATCCAGAGAGTTCTAGACAATGGCTCAACGTCCAAGTGGAAACTAGTAACAAGGTGTGTCCCTCAATGGTCTGTACTGGGACCAATACTCTTGAATATCTTCATCGATGGTGTAGTGGGATTGACTTTGCAGGTGACACCAGGCTGAGTGGTGC